TATGTCATCTTCTGATTCAGCGTTTTGGAAAGAGGCAGTCAATAGTGAGATTCAATCAATTTTGGATAACCATACATGAGAATTGGTAGATCTTCCTCCAGGAAATAAGCCCTTAGGTTCGAAATGGATCTTTAAACGAAAAGTGAAAACTGATGGCACTATTGACAAATATAAGGCAAGACTTGTTGTCAAAGGTTATAGACAAAAGGAAGGCCTTGATTACTTTGACACTTACTCGCCAGTAACGAGGATAACATCTATTAGGGTGTTAGTGGCACTAGCGGCCGTGTATGGTCTTGAAATCCATCAAATGGATGTTAAAACAACTTTCTTAAATGGAGAATTAGAGGAAGAGATTTACATGGAACAACCTGAGGGTTTTGTGGTAACTGGTAAAGAAAAGAAAGTGTGCAAACTTGTTAAGTCACTTTATGGACTTAAACAAGCACCCAAACAATGGCATGCCAAATTTGACCAAACAATGTTGGCAAGTGGGTTTAAAATCAACGAGTGCGACAAATGTGTTTACATTAAAAACACTCCAGGTCATGAAGTCATTGTTTGTTTATATGTTGATGACATGTTGATAATGAGCAAAAACATGGCAGATATAAATGCTACTAAGCGCATGTTGGCTAGAAAATTCGATATGAAAGACTTAGGAGTTGCTGATGTGATCTTAGGAATCAGAATTCACAAGACTCCACAAGGTCTAGCATTATCATAGTCTCACTACATTGAAAAGGTACTTGATAAGTTCAAGTATTTGGATTTCAAAATTTCCAAGACTCCAAATGACGTGAGTTATGCACTTCAAAAGAATGAAGGTGAAAGTGACTCATAACTGGATTATGCAAGAGTATTGGGAAGTTTGATGTATATCATGAATTGTACATGATCAGATATAGCATGTACTATTAGTAAACTGAGTCGGTTTACAAGTAATCCCAATCACATACATTGGATGGCAATGAAATGAGTTTTGGGGTAAATACCCAAAATTACACTTTGCATTAAAACAAATATCCCTCCGTGATCGAGAGATATAGTGATGCAAATTGGATCACTGGATCATCTGAAGTAAATCCACGAGAAATATGTTTTCACAATTGGGGGTGGAGTAGTGTCTTGAAAATCATCCAAACAAACGTGCATCGCCCGTTCTACAATGGAATCTGAATTCATAGCTTTAGATAAGGCCGGTGAAGAAGCTGAATGGCTCCGAAACTTCTTGGAAGATAATTCATTTTGGCCCAAACCTTTGGCACCTATTTGTATACATTGTGATAGTCAAGCGCCAATAGGCAGGGCAGGGAGTATTATGTATAACGGAAAATCACGTTATATACAACGGAGACACAATACTGTTAGACAACTACTCTCTAGTGGTGTTATCACAATTGATTACGTAAAGTCAAGAGATAACGTGTCGGATCCAATTACAAAAGGCCTATCTAGAGAGGCAGTTGAAAGATCATCAAATGGAATGGGGTTAAGGTCTAGGACAAGTTATCATGGCAGTAACTCTACCTAGCAGACTGAAGATCCCACGAGCTAGGTTCAAAGAGATCAAACAAAGTTATGAATGACGGTTCAACATTGTCAAATAACTCAACCCATTCTCGTGATGAAGACAATGTTCAGAAATCGAGATAAAGCATTAAGGCTTTTTGATGAGTCAACAAAGCTTAAAGGTTTTTTAATGATTTGCTAAGTCTGGCAGGATATGACCAGGTAGTGTGTCTATAGTATTACACGTTTAGAAATCACCTATGTGAGTGTGAAGTGTAAGCCGCTTCAAGGGGAATGAAAGTAAAGGCCCATTCTCTAAGCACTCATGAAACCAGGCGGTGTTCATGGCTGAAACGAACACAACCGTGAGAACCATAGATGGTTAAGGATTGATTGTGTGACTTATGTTGTCTAGGTATACAACAAAGCTCGACGGTTCAAAGATATCAAATCTACCGATTGACCGAGTATATCCGATATAAGTTCATAACGGAAAGTTCAAAGGGAAACCTACTTATCCAAATGCAATTAATTCTTGCATGTAAAACACACACGCGTCCGTGCATTCCTTTATTTTATTGCCATTCCCCATTCATGTGGGGGATTGTTGGAATTTTAAGCTTGTGTAGCTTAAAGAGGGTGAATGAGAAATGGAGGAAAAATAAAATATTTGAGTTTCTCTCCTTGGCAAAGGGACATTGTCCCATATTGGAGGAAGAAAAGGCTTTTGATGGGTATATACTCCCTCCATTTCAATTTATGTGAACCTATTTCCTTTTTAGTCCATGTCAAAAAGAATGACCTCTTTCCCTATCTAGAAACAATTTACCTTTATGCAATGATTTATAGCCACACAAAATATATGTGCCTCGTCTTACACCACAAATTTAAAAGTCTTCTCTCTTTTCTTAAACTTCGTGCCCAGTCAAATAGGCTCACATAAATTGAAACGGAGGGAGTATATAATTGCTCTTTTTCTAGCTCTTAAAGAGTTAAGACGAAGGCAAGTCTCGCGCCGCCGTCGTCGTCGCTCGCTCGGCTCGGCTTCGATTTCGGCTTCGGATTCGGATTTGAATTTGGATTTGGATTTGGTCAAAGATCGATTGATTGATTAATCTTTTTGGACAAAATTCCTTTCAATTATTTGATTAATTAATTAAATAATTAACGAAAAATTCAATCCGAAATAACCCATGACCCGCGACCCGGGCCGGTCCGGTCAGGCCCGTTTTCTTTTTCGAATTATTTTAAAATTTTCCGCAATATTTCAAACAACCTGTTCCAACAGCCATGGCTGTTTCTGAAAGGTTCCAAACCTTTTCAGAAACAATGCCAGCAACTCTATAAATATACTTTAAATCCTAGAATCTTTTCTTACGAAATTTTCTTATCTTCTTCTTCTTCTTCTGCACAAAAATTCAGTATGTTTTACAGCCTTTGAGTGGCTCGCTGTTCACCGGTGTTTTGGTACCAACACTCCGGTGAGTTAAATCGTTCTATCCTGGGAGGATATATTCCAGCACCTCGGGTACTTGAGGGGAATAATTTCCTTAAGGACACACTGTGTATTCAGTGAGCTTGATTTATTCCTATACTATTTTTTTCAGAATTTATTTCTTTAAACAAGTGTTACTAACTTTCTGTTTTGTTTATATATTTCAGAAAGTTTAATGATTTAATTATTTATTACAGTAATACAGATTTATAACACTTACAAGGACTCCTCTCTTTATAGTAGAGAGATCCTACTTTATCTATAATAATAAAAAATATATAGTAGAGAACCCATGATGAATTATCTTTTCCTCGATTCCTGTCAAGATTCTCTCCCTAGTGCGGTTGCAACGACTCTTGTCTGTGAGCTCGATACTGGCTTGGAGCCTTGTCGGTATTGGATCAAGCCCTCGGCCTTGGTTCGAGCTCGATTCTGACTTGGAGTTTCGATATTCGAGGTGAATATTGGTCGGTCTATGCATCTTCGATAATCTTCGCTTCGACTCGTAGTTCAATTTGGATATGAGCTCGATATTGATACCGATCTTGTCATTGATCGGTTTTAGAGCTCGAAGCTTAACGTCCTTACTTCGGACCTCGACATGTCGTCATGCAGATACCCTTTGATCGAAGTATTATCATCTCGATCAGTTCATACGATTGACTTAATCGGTTTTGACCGTACATAATATGCACAACAGATAAAAATCATGTCTCTTTTGTTAGTCAAAATTAGAATCTGCAGCAAGATGAATTCCTCCGGATAAGATCTGGTTGGTCGAATCTTGTCAATTCCATACTCAAAAAGCTTTTTTATTTTTATTTAAGAAAAGAACTTTTGGTAAGAAGAAACTAAAAAATTTAGAAAAGGGTTGGATATTTTCTGACCGTTCAAAGAGGAAGAAAAAGGTGTAAAACAAAACCCTTAGAAAATAAAAGTCTTCCCATAACAACGGTTATCAACTTGCACCAGTGTGGTAGGGCTATGAGATTCAATGAAATTTTCAATTTTGATCACGAGACATGTTAATACCATTATTGATTATACCAGTAACAAGAACAATAACAGCAGTAAAATAAAAAAATAATAAAACAGTCCATTCGTTTAAAAGATGATGCTACTATTATTTGCAAAGTCAAACTAATATCATAATATTAAAATATATCATTAAATTCAACAATAGTATATGTGATTTGCAGTTCTTTTTATAGTTTCTAAGAATATAAACATATTCTAATTTTTTGAAGTATTGTCTAAAATTTATATAAAAATTTAAATATTTTTATTTCGTATTTCAAACAGCTTCATCTTTTATGGAGTACGAAAGTAGAAGTAGCCTGTTAAATGACTCTGTGAAAAAGACCCTTGTGACCAAAGAAAAAGAAAATGATGCGCGCTTTCCACACGGAATTTACGTGAAAATGTGCCTCTTGCCAAACCAGAAAGGCAATACACTATGCAGGAACAAAACCTCACATGACCAAAATAATTGTTAGGTGAAATTACTATGCGATAACTGAAAAATGTATCAATTATTATACGATATGGAACATTAAAATTACAAACAAACAAAGCTAATATTTAGAATTTTGTCATAGTAAATTGTTACTATTGATTGCTCATTCCTTTTGTTATATAAAGAGCGCGTCATGTAATTTCCCAGATTAGGTTAGCAAGTTCTTTTTTGTTTTGAAGCAAATTAGCTGAACAAGTTTTAAAATTGTTTAACTCATTGACATTAACTAAATACTTCTTCCAATTCATAAGAGAAATATGCTGAAACTGGAAAATTAAATACTTCTTCCATTTCATAACGTGGTAAGTTGTTGCTACAAATGCACTGCAAAGGTTTCTGCATTGATGATTACAACTAGAAGGCAAAAATTTACGCATCCAGATGTTCAAAAAATGAAAAAAGGAAATATCTAAACCTAAAAAATTAAAATATTCACTTATCCAAAATGGTATTAATAAAATTACTTAATTATCCAAAAAGGTCAGCAATATCTGTAAAATCCAGTTGCGGTTTTACATTTACCACAAGACTGACCACCACCTTGAAATCCTATTTGCCAACACAAACAAACTGTTTTGGCCACCATCTCCGCCGCGGCCGTCACCGGTACTGCAGCCGTCTGCGGTGGTGCTACCGCCGCCAAGAAGTTGTATGATGCCGTTGACTCAGCTGAAGAAATATGATCAGTCTTCGTATGTAATGGCAACCCTATTGAAAGTTCAAGATTTATCATCAGTTGCTGTGAACTTTTCTGTGGAATTTCTAGTGGCTTTGTTTCTTCAGTAGTACCACTGTTGCATTTTGTTTCATCATATGATGAATCTGTGGTATTATTCCTCTGGTTTATAATATTGGGTTTTTGGTCAACGTTGTTTTTGAAGTCCATGCAGATGTTTTTGGTTGTGGTGGTAGCGGCGGAGGCGGTGGTAGTGGTGGCGGCAGCGTTGAGTGGACGGTGAGATTGAGGATCAATGCCACGGCTGATGAGTTTTCTCTTAATGTGTGTATTCCAATAGTTTTTAATTTCATTATCAGTTCTTCCGGGTAATCTTCCAGCTATAACAGACCATCTGCAAAAACACAAAATCAGAAAAATTAGTAAAAATTAACGAGAACAGTAATATCAGAAAAAGTAGTAATAAATCAATGATGTTTTATGATTAGATAATATAAACGAAAAAAAGTTTGTTTAATTTTTTTGAGTGACAACAAATTTAATAATTTTACTTATTTTAAGGGAAACTTTTAACCAATTGTAATTCACGCCTACCTATTTGCCATCGAAAATGTTTGAACCTAGCTAGTTCAAAGTTAAGATTTAATCTTTTAAATTTCATTTGGTTAATAATAATAACAATAAATTAGAAAGAAACAACTTTAGAATCTCAAGAATTTGCTGATTTGGTATTCCGAGAAACAGAGACGTCCTTCCCCTCTTTTGAAAAATTAACTACTCTGGACCATCTAGCCTTCTTTTTGTTAATTTCTTAATGTGGTCCCAAATTGAAATAAAAAATGGACTTTATATACGGATTTCCACACATTTTTCGATCAGCAAAACAAAGCCAAACAGGAAATAATTATAAGTAAGCAAATAAATGAAATAAAAATAGCAAAGAACAAGAGAAGGTATAGTGGTATACTTGTTTCCAAGTAAACTGTGGAGTTTGATGATCAATTCGTCTTCTTCTTCAGTAAAGTTTCCTCTTTTGAGATCAGGCCTTAGGTAATTTATCCATCTCAGTCTGCAGCTCTTTCCACATCTTTGCAATCCTAAAAAGTTCAAAAATACGAAAAATTGAATCTTTACACAATATCAAGAAAGAAAAAAAAGAGAAGCTTATACTTGGAATCTTTTTTCCTCCAGACACCAAACCTTGGAAAAAGAAAATTAATTTTTGAGATAGATCAAAGTACTATGTCATGGCGGATCCAAAATTTAGATGTATAAAAGTATGAAGTCTAAAATACATTATGTAATTGTATCTACATTTATTTTCACATAAAAAAGTTATTTATATATAAAGGGTTCGAGACGAAACGTAATGAATTAAAGTATTCGAAACTCACAATTAATCCAAATCTCAAAAGAGTAGTACCTGCAGCTGTAGGGAGAGAACGCCAGCAACCTTCACCATGAGAACGTATGTAATTGATAAGGCGTTGGTCTTCTTCTTTAGTCCATGCTCCTTTATTTGTATGAGCTTTTTCACAACAAGGTGAACGTCCCATGACTTGATCTAACACTTCTTTTTCACTTTCCTTTCTTTTCAAGTTTTTACTTTTGGGTAGAGCTACAGAAAGATATTGATAGAGAAAACCAATAACTACGCTTGTCTCTTTCACTACTACTATTAATTTCTCTTCTTGATAAGACTGAAACTGTTTGGTACTTAATTTGCAGTTTCTCTAATGGAGAAAGAGGGAATAGAAGAAGCTATATATCTTAGGGGTGTCGTGGGGTAGGCGTAAAGGGTAAATGTAGGGGCTACGAGTTTGATTGGAAGACTTTGGAACTATTGCCTTTACCAAACTCAAGTGTCTTTCTTTTTTTATTTTTTCTTATAGTTGAGAGAGAGAAAGTGGAGAAAATAGCAGGTACAAGTTTCGAATTTTAAACTTGTAAGTATAGGATACCATTAGATATAATATTCTTTTGTGAGAATATTTATGAATTTATATATAGGAGTATGTGTTTTTAAGAAATTTTTTAATCATAAGTATAATATTTGCTATGTTTTGTACACTGAAAATATATAAGATTTTACGTTATAAAGTTAAGTTGGCATTCAAAGTTGTGACTTAATGATTAATGAAATGACAAGAATCATGAGCTATATCAAGTTCAAATTCTAATAGAAGTAAAAATATTAGGTAATATCTTTTCATATGTGTCCAATCTTTAGTAGATAAATATTCAGTGAATTTAGCCGAGATATGCTCAAGCTAACCTGATACAACAATTATAAAAAAAAGAAGAGGTTAAGCTGACCTAAATAAATAATTTAATTTATCTTCCTATCAAACATGATATTATAATCTTAAAAATAAAATAATGTGTTCCAATCGATTATTGAACTAATAGTATACCGTTTTTCGTTTACACATTTAACGTATTATAAACTTTACTCCTAAATAAAATTCAAATTAAACTCTGAATGTAATTTTGTATATATGAAAGGTTACAAATGTATCTTGCACTAGCAAAGTGGTAAAGAAAGAATTTGACCAAGTTGGTAAGGAAAAGAAGAGATAGGGTTGGATTTGGTAGGTAGGTTTTCTTTTAAGATGAGTTGTCCTTTAGCTTCAAGTGTGTACCCCACTTTGTTTTCCAACTTACATTACTGATCTTGCCACGTGGACCGTACATGTGGTTGTTTGGAGATGTCCCACTGTATGTATTCCCTACATTGAGAACAAATCGGTGGAGTCATATTGTATAAATCATATAGGGGTCTTTTTGGTAGGGTTTATAAAAATAATTATGCTTAGATAAGTTATACTGAGATTATTTATTTTGAAGTATTAATATTTTGAAAGTGGAGCTCTGTCTTTATAAATATTTATTAATCTATATTATTATAAAAATACCAATATTGAAATATTAAATGTCGAATGACAAAAATATCCTTAGAATCTTAACCGACCTTTATGCCCTTAGAAAACTAATTTATTTTTTAAAGAAACAATTCAATGTTAGGACAAAATTGGTTTTACGTATTATCTGGAACGATTTTAACGTTTCCAAGTAAAATTTAACTATAGGTGTTTTCCAACTACTTCAAACAATTGTAGTGGGATTGAAATTTCCTCACATGTTTGAATCCTTTTGGGAAGCTACCACATACGTGTAATTTTAAACTTTAAAAGTTGTCGGCTACTTTAATGTGGCTCTGTAAAAAGATTAATTCGGTTATTGGTTGATACCAAACCGATGTGAATTGGTGAGTATGTGATAGTCAATTAATGAAAGCTTGATTGTTGCGTTGCAAGATCATGAGCTATCAATCACTGAAGAGATGCTCGTGAATGATTAGATGAAAGATTAAAGGGTTGTAAGATGTTTGCAATCGCGTCATAAAGGAAGCTTAATTACGAGAAGAGTGGAGGAAGTTTAGCACATTCACAAGATGACGAAAAGCCTTACAATCAACGGTAGACAAGAGTTTTCTTTCTTGCATTGCACTCCTTTTAATGTATATTTTTTTTTTTGTAATTAGCAGTCGCTTTTGTAGGAATGAATTATTTTAGGAATTATTAGTATTATTCTGTATTTTAATTAATAAATAGTTTGGGTACTTTAACTTCGATTTCAAACTTAGTTCTTTGGAGCAGGATCTGTTATTCCCGCCAATATTGCTGTATTTGTAAATAATAATTCTGCAAAAATATAAGTTAGCATAATGAAACAATAATTAATTCGAGCCCACTGAATTCACAGTGTTTCC